AAGACAGACCTGCATCCTTGACCTGTAACAGATGTTACAGCTGATGGTAACAGCAGCCCAACGATACTCACCACAGTATTTGTGGTGTGTTGTGCCGGGGGGGGGGGGGTTGTTGTTATGTGTGTGTGTGTGTCAGCGTGTTGTGCTACATCAGGTGTTTTCTATCTCGTCTTTGATCCTGTTTGTTTGAAGGAGCAGCTCAGGTGTTAGAGCATGAATCCCAGGGACTCGTCCAAATCCTTCGCTCTCAGTTTCTGACACTGTTCGTTTTTTTACTGGTGATGATGTGAAGTGTTGGTCGACGTGAGGCGCGGCTGGTGATTCAGTTCAAACCTTTACCCGTGATTGTTGGTTACAGCATGTATTTTAACATGTCTTTATATTTTCTGTGTGGAATAGCAGAGGGGGTGTAGTCACATAATCAAAGCCCCCCCCCCCTCTTTTCCCCCCTTTACTTCAAAAGGATAGGAGCTTCCATTAAGGCTTTGTGAGGAAACAAGAAGCTGCTACAATAGAGGAGAGAAGAGTTCAGGTGTCTGTCTTCATATCAGTAATGCTTTTTGGTGCAAAAACGACTAAAATGCTGCAAAAGGTTTCAAAAGATGTAATGGAACACATTTTTAAAATATATAAAAAATATGATGCAGCCATCAGAGCTACCCATAATTCCAAGACTTCAAGAGGCGACGAGTCCTTCTGACTAAACCTTCGTCGACTCAAATCTCTAAAAAATCACATGACACATGATCCCCTCCCTCCCAACCAGGCACCACCAGGGCATCTTTAAGAGTAAATACCGAGAAAAATCTTATCTGTCGTTGAAACGCCTCAGGTTCTGGAGCTGCAGCTGGAGAACATGGACGGCCCACGGACCGTCTGTGACCCAAGATAAACAGATGACGAGAACTCCCAGGGTTCAGTTCGTCACCATCATCATCATCATCACACAAACTCCACCTTATAAACTTATTGCTGCCCCCCCGCCCCCCCACATGCCCTGTGGAAATAATCAGTCAGTTTTAACTGGAAGTCAGTTTTAACTGGACTCACCCACACATCAGTAGAAAGGCCTGGAGGGAAGATGGACACACTGAGATGTGGAGATGGAGAGATGGTGGTGGGAGGAGGAGGAGTGAGGAGAAATGGAAGTGCTGCAGGTAGAGACACAGGGGGCAGAGACAGGACAAATGCACGTGAATAAATAAACAGCACAGCATCACCTCCTCAGTAGTTATCTGCATCGCTTACTTCCACAGACCCCGCTGAGCCACCGTCTCACCTCATAATAGGAGATGGAAAGAAAGAGAGTGAGAGAGGAAATAAGGCAGAGAGAGAGAGACAGAGAGAGACAGAGAAATTTCACCAGTTTGTCACTCAGAGGGTGTCAAAGAATCTTGCATTGATTTGTGGCTCTTTAAATACTTTGATCGTCCCTATTATTTCAGCAAAACTTTATTTATTCAGACACAAGTCAATTTCCAGAAGGAGCCGGTCGTGCAGCCATGAATTATTGACAAGGATGCTGGAGACCTAACACAGATCTCATCTTCTCCTCTCCTCTCCTTCCTCGTCTTTCATTCTTCTCACTCCCCCTCTCTTACATCTCATCTCATCTCATCTAATTCTCTCCTTCTAAAGCTTTGATTTATTTTAATTTCACCAGTTTGTCACTCACTCCACGTCACCGTATTTCCTCCTTTCATCTCCCTCCTTTGTGTTGTTCCAATTTTCCTTTATTGGAATTTGAAATTCAAAGTTTCCTCCATCGTGTTGACAAACGTCAGTCGTTTACATCTTTACCGTCTCTTTTCTCTGTCCATGTTTCACTTGACACAAGTTATGATTCATACATTAAAGAATACATTCTGTGTATATTAAAAAAATATCATGGCTCGGTTTCATCACTACAGTTCCCCATGTCTGAGTCGCTGCTAGTCCTAGCATTGTCAGGCAGGAGAGCAGCCTACTCCACCTTGATGTGAAAAGCCCACGGGGGATCTGATCACATGACTAAAGGCAGGGGATAGAACTTCTTTCACCTCCTTCACTTCAAAAGGGATGCAGGCTTTAATAAAGGGCTGTGCCAGGGAACTGGAGAAGGTTCTAGAAGACAGACAGAAGAGTATTTGTCTTCATATCTGTGGGCGAGCACACTCCAGTTGTCAACACACCCACACATGTACAACTATAGAAGCGAAAACACGGGAATGAAAAAAGAAAAAAAATGAACTTGTTGATGACAAAGACGTCAGAAAAATGGATTATAATCAATTTCATAATTGTATATTTCAACAGTGTATTTTCACTTTTATATTCTTAAAATATACATCAATCAGATCCTAATTGTAGATCTTCATCTTTGTCAATAAAATCTAATTTGTGATTAACATTATCAGCACTTTCCCAAAAAACACAGAGCAAAATAACTGCTTCTAATTTTGATCAAATGAAACAACAACCCAGTGTGTGTGGAGCCACTTTTTCCACTTCACACACACACACACATCATGGCCTCAGAAGGCAGACGTGTGACTATCAGTGATTTAGCAGAAGGCAGACGTGTGACTATCAGTGAAGACTGATCACTGATCAGCCATTCTCAATTCTTCTTCTTTTGTTTTCTACGGTTTCCACTTTCTATAATTTACCACCAAGAAACTGATCACATTCTCAATTCTTTTGTTTTTTATGCTTTCCACTTTCTATAATTTACCACCAAGATCTTAAATAATATTAGGCTGATTATAGTACAATAAATTGCTACTCTTCTGGTGCAAAAAAAAAAAAAAATACTATCTCAGTACTCAACATTCAACCTGTGGCCCAGACATCATGAGCACCCCCTGTTGGGAAGAACGAGGGAGAGAAAAGTAGCGTGTTTAAAAATAAATTATTGCCAGTTTTCTGGCTAGTTAGAGCTAATATCAGCGTTTATTACTTCAATACTACACACTAATACTTCATTCAATTCCATACTTCAATACTTCACACTAATACTTCAGTCAATTCCATACTTCAATACTATACACTAATACTTCAGTCGATACCAAACAGTTGTGACAACCTAAGACAGTCCTCCTCCCTCTGACTCAGGGTCCATACTGACCGATCATCTCTGGTAACATGTTCAAATGTCGACCCACTGTTTCCACCTCATCTGCTCCATCCTCAGGACGGCTATCATTACTACTGACATTCTAATTGGATTGTGATGAACAACTAGAGAAGGATTTCTGCTGGACCAGTCGCCCGGAGGCTCACACAGCGGCACGCTTTCTCCAGCACAGCCGTGTCAGGATTTTTTTATTTGATGAAATTCCTAATCAAAAGTGAAGACAGGGCGAGAGAAAAAAAAAAAAAAAAAAAAAAAAACAAGTCGACCAGCAGCATACTGTAAATGCAGCGTCAGTGTGAAAGTCACCTCGACGCAGAGCGTGATCTCAAGATTAAAATTAAGGGTTTTTTGGTATTCAGTATTCAGCTAATCGTCGTAAGATCGGGCCTTTGAACGAATCAAGCTTTAGTTCTATCTTTGATCACGTTTTTTGGTTTAATTTCATAAATAAAAAAAAGTATTCAGCTAATCGTCCTAAGATCGGGCCTTTGAACAAATCAAGCTTTAGTTCTATCTTTGATCATAAAAGGGAGTTGAGGAAACACAAACCTACAGTCTGTCACTGATGGTACTGAAGAGGAGGCAGTCAAGTCTTTAATTTCTTATTTTCTGTAAACACAATAAATTCAGTTTGTGTTTGTGTTGTTTCCAACACTGTTCTCAGGTTGTTGTCAATCAGACTGGAAATCAATTTAGTTTTAATATAATCTCTGTTGACACGTCTTAGATGGATGGATGGATGGATGGATGGATGGATGGATGACAGACAGACAGATAGATCTTCATTGATCCCTTGGGGATATGTAGGATGACTCATCATGTATTTTCATGATGAGTCAATTTCCTCGCCTGACGCAGCGCTGATTAAAGCCAAACAGATCCAGAGTCTAACACAGAGGTGACTGTTATCAATATCAATGAGTGAATTACATCATCAAACACCAATATTTACATGTACTGTATAAACGATGGATTTTTGTGCAGTATGTTTAACAATAATCCTGATTATTCTTTTTCTCTGTTGTTTTCTGGTTGCGTTGTTGTTTTGTTTTGTTTTGTTGTGGAGTGAGCTGTTATTTTCACCACACTACAGAAGGACGGCCGTATTTGATGAATGCACTTTGGCATTCACACTTGTGATTTATTATTCATTGAAATCTGCTTTATAGTCACCGAGATTTAGACCAAGGACGGCTACTTTTAAATTAGCACAAACACACAAAGACACACACACACACACACACACACACACACTGAGACCAACAACACACAGGTCACATGGTGAACTGGATTAAAAATCCCATTTAAATGAATGATTGATTAAACACCTGTTTCCACAGTGAAGAGGACAAGAGGACCTGGACCACAGTAACAAATACACCGAGGTGGAGATCTAGTCGATCCACGGGACACTGATGTCACTGAGGGGGGGCCGGGGAGGGAGGGGGGGGCAGAGGACTTCAACTCTGAAAGGAGAAAAGTAGGAACAACAAGTAGGAACTGGAAAAAATGATGAATTTGTAATGAGTATTTCAAAAAAGGGGATGACTGTTCTACTGAGTACAATTGAGTGGAAATTTAAATGTTTGGAACTAAAAAGACTCAATCATTTTCATCGGTTTGTTTCATTTTGTTTTTCTTTGAAAACACTTTGAAACTTCAAATCATGTTCTCTGCAAAGTCCTGACCAACAATCTGAAATAAAAAATATATAAAAAAAAACCTACATGAACTTGAGTTTCTTCAGTCTGAGACGTTTTGTCACTTTTAACTTTTCTTTCTTTTATCCGTTCTTTAAAGCCTTGACCCCGACTTCCTCACGTCAACACCACGTGAAACGTTCCTACGACCGTAGACGGTGCACCTAAAAGCTTTTCAACATAAAGGAAGGAAGAAAAGAACCCAGTGAAAACCAGAAAAACATCCACCCATCAGTGCGTTCAGTTCGGACTCTTTTATTTTTGGTTTTGTTTTTCCCAACATGAAACCTACAATTAAAAAACTCAAACTGAGAGCTCCACAGAGAGACGTACTTATTGAAAAATAATCTTGTATGCCTTATCTTCGTCCTCTGTCCTCCCTCCGTCTCTGTGACCAGCGATGATTGCTTTGACCGATGTTGCCTCAGACTGGTGGTTCCGTCTGATAAACGACTTTATCTGTCATTGGGGGAGAGAGGGGGGAGTCGGGGAGATAACCCGGCTGTCCGTCATCCTTTGTCCGAGTGCAGAGAGGAGATTGGATATTGACCCGAGGTTGTCTCCGTCAAGCTGCGATGTTTTGAAGACTCTGTCAGAGATTGACATTGTGGTCCGAAAAAACTGACTTGATACAGTTCTAAGAACTTAAATTTGTTGCTGCGCGTTCTGTAGAAGTACCGTTGAGTCGTCAGAGAGTTAGGCTCCGTTCTGGTGCGACGCCTCGCGTCCTCTACCCTGTGTCAGAAGTTTTACTTCTACCTTTTCAGCCAGCTACGGTAACACGACAACAGCTGTTCAAACCTTTTGGTGACATCACACGTCAGTTCTTCGTCTCCCTCCATTTTAGGCAGAAGCTGCGGCTCCGCAGCGACACCTCTTTAATTACACTGACTTTGGCTTCGGTGCACGTACAGATGCTAGATGTTACCTGGCCGAACTCTGTCTTTCCTCATGCTCTCCGTAAGACTTACAGTTATAGGCAGTCCGTGCAGAGCGCCACCTGCCCGGGGCGAAAGTCTCTGCAGGGGCACAGTCGTCTGAATTTAGGGGAGTGACCTGCGCAGCTGAAAAGGAGAGGTTCCCTCTGGAGGCCGCACTCCTGTCGCAGCACCGAAAAAGCCGGGAGGATGTGGTTGATCTCCGAGTCCACCACCTCACACTGCACCTCCAAACTGAGGAGCAGAGAATGAAGAGGAGTGGATGTACAGGGCAATAGAAGAGCGAGCAGAGCAGTTAGATCTAATCACAGGAAATGGGTTCTTTATAGGAGAGAGACAGCAGTGGAATAAAGGAGAAGACACCGTTTTACTGCTCCCATCACAAAACAGATGACAAATTTGAAAGTGAAGGAAAATAATTTAGCCAAGTTACGTCACAACATAGGAACGGAACTTTGATGTAAGTCGAGGATCCCCTACATATTTTACTACAAAAACATAACTACTATAAAAGTAACTCTAAATTGAAGGTAAATGACCAGTGACGTACCAGCGCAGCGCCTCCTTGTTGTTGATGAAGCGGAAGTGGGCGGGCTCACAGGTGAAGCCCGACGACTGACAGGCCTCCACACAGGACTGGCCCTCCTGAGACACCAGCAGCCTGAGGGAGCTGAGGGGGGGCCAGACGGGGGGCGCGGCTACGCTGGGTGACCAGCCAAGTGCCGTGGTGTTGGACAGGGCCACAAACAGAGGTCCTGTTGTCCTGCTGCCGGCAGCAAAGCCCTGTCTGCTGAGGTTGGCCGGGATGAAGGGAGGCTCTGGAGCACAGAAGTCCTGAAGATGGAAACGTATCTGGGTGAGATGGAGTGAATCCCCACAGTGTGTTTTATACAGTTTATAGCAGGCATGGGCAAACTAGGGCCCGGGGGCCGGATGCGGCCCGTTCATCTTTTTAATCTGGCCCAGCAAATGTTTCCAAATTATATAATTCATTTATATTATCTTTATAAAAAAACATAATGTCAGCAGCACAACACTGACAGGAGCTGCTCCATGATCTCCATCATTCCTGTGTTTTATTGACTGGAATATAGCAATCTGACCTGACCTGGATGAAAACAGCTACAGTGTGATCTGACATAATACAATCACACGGTGGAATAGTGATTGGTATGAAAAGAGAGGGTGTAAACAGCGTGGACAGATGCTGACTCCATTATGTTTATGAGTGCTGGGCGACTGTGGCCAATGAAAAGCAGATAAACACTGCTGGTCCCCGGTGTCTGGGACCAGCAGATGTTTTAACCTCTGCTGCACAGCTTTTCTCTCTGAGTCCAAAACCAGCCTTTCATTATTGATAAAAAAGACTGTGTGTTAATGTCAGCCCTGGGTTATTGTGACACTTGTGCTTTTTACTGCTGCCGCCGTCATTATCTTGGAGGGAAACATCAGAAAACAACAAACACAAAAAACACCCAGATTTTTTTTGTTTGTTTTTGTTTTTTACATAAAATACTGTTTAACAATCACGAACAAGTACAGAACTATAACGTAACTCGTAACCTAACAATATTTAAAATTTGTAGTTTTTTGTATTTATTTATTAGTAATTTAGTAGTTTGTAATTTTGTGTCATTCTTAAATTACTAACTTACTAAAACCTTTTAAAAATAAAAAAAAAATGGTAATACATTTTTTTAAATGATTTATTTAATTAAATTATTTATAACATCTTGTCAGTGGAGGTGGCACCCGAGCCAGAGTTTGAGAACCCTGTGTTATTCCCTCATCCCTCCATAAGGACATAAGATATAGAGTAACTGGGTCAGGGCTAAACGTCAGAGGTTTGAATCTTCTGCTTCCTGTGTTAGTGTCGCTCTGACCCAGTTTTAATGAACACTCAGACTCAACTTCTTTGCCAACTTCAGCACTTCTCACAGTTGTTCTTCACATTTTGCTTCTCTAACTTCCAGAACGCCCGTGTAAGATTTGAAGCCCGGACCCTGATTAATATTTTACACCTTGATACCTGGCTCTGTAATTCACTCCACATTAATCATTAGTCTTTTTTCCCCCTTTAATTCGACACATCTCTGCCTTCTCTCCCCGTCCTCCTGCCAAGAAAATGTGATCTCTTGGCTGCTGACTTACAGCAGACATCCTCATCAGGCTTCTCCTCACTGCAGATGGGGAAACGTTGACATCCTAATGAAGCTGTCATGTGCTGAGCCAGGGACTTACGGGACTTCATCAAGTCATGGAAAAACTTTTTTGCAACTTGAAAATGGCCGTCAACTTTAGCCCACTGTCTCTGTAGAGCCTTAACTTTAAAACAGCTAAATATCTATATATATATTTATCCAGCCATCCATCCATCCATCCAGCCATCCATTCCTCCATCCATCCATCATCCATCCACCTAGCTACCTATCTACCTATCCATCCATCCATCCCTCCATCCATCCATCCATCTATCCATCCATCCATCCATCCATCCATCCATCCATCCATCCATCCGTATTCAGCTGTTTTGTGGAGTTACTTTAATGCTTTGGTAACAGTATTTATCAAACATATTTCTGTTTTGTTCAGTCCCGTCATAACTAATATATAAACAGACAGTTTTATGCCTGCGTGTCTCTGCGTTGGGCTAATAATCCCACAAGTTAAATGGAATGCATCGTTTATCTGACAGATCACAGCAGCAGGAAGAACGTCAGTGTCAGTGTTCTCACGTACCTGATGTTGTATGTAGGCGTGTACTCGCTCCAGCATCCCCTCACAGGTGTACTCGTACGGCAGGAATGGCTCCACCTGAAAAATGACACAAACATTTTCAAAAGGTCAAATGAGGTCAGAGAAATCACCGTCAATCGCTCACCTCCCGGGCCTGTTAACTTCCTGCCTCTGTATATGTTGTGTTTAAAGGGTTTACTGCTAAAAAAGAAAATGTTAGATTATAAATTATATAAGTTTTATATAAAGTTATAATATGTTTTTTCTTTATATGCTTAAATAATTGAAAATGAAGAATTCCACACTTTGTGGTTTTCAATTGTTCCAGAGAATAAAACCTATATTTTCACCAACATGGAGAGAAAATATCTTCATATATATTTTATGACCAAAGGTCAAAGGAACCAAATGCACTTATTTTTCTTGGAAAACAAAAACGGCTTCAAAGGAGTTGATTTCAGCAGAGAAACGTTTCTATTGTCAGACTCCTCCATCACCTAATCACTCCGTGTCAATGTTTGGAAACTCATTAGGAGATATTTGCATAGAAATAGATGGTGCCCTGCTGGGACGAGGAGGCTTTCATAACTACAGCGCGTGTGTTTTATTGGGCTAATTAGAAAGAAACCAGAAACAATGCACAGCCTCTCTGTCACTCTCACTCTTCACTTCCACACCGACGGGAATGTGGTAAAGGACCAAAATACAGGATTACTGTAAGCTAAATTGTGTGACTCTGTGAATAACTCTGTGAAGCTCCTTTTTTTTCCTAAAGTAATCTTGGTTTTGTCAGTTAATTATCATGTAAACTGGGGCACAGAGACCGAACCTCCATTCGCCACCCGGCTCAATGTTCAACCACGGGGGAAATCAGTCGAGGTCCTTTTCAAATAAAAGTTGAACAAAGGAAATAAGAATGCAGGGATAATGCAATCTGGAAAGTTCCGCACACGGTTGATCAGATCAGAGCCTTATGTTGATCTGCTTTTCACACCAGAGTCAACACAAACACAGAAGTGACCGTGAACACCAGCAGTCTGTTTTGGAGTTTTCCATCCACGGTTCTTTTTTATTTATTCATCATTCAGCCTCCATTTGAGGTGTTCTATTATCAAAGACTTCAAAGACACGACAACGATGGCTGCACCAATACCAATACTTCTGGGTCAGGGTCCGGTTCCTAACCACGACGTAAGTTGAATTTTCACTGTAAGATGGAACTTACATAAAATGGATAAAAAAGAAAAACTGCAACGTACCGAGGGGATAAAAAAAGAAAAACTGCAACGTACCGAGGGAGTGAAAGGAGAACTGTGATACAGAGAGGGAACACCGTGTTTCTCTGTCATTCATTTATTAAATCCTGACTTCCTGATTACACGACTGACGCACAAACAGGTTTACATTGTTTAACCTTCTCTGATTCTCCGTCCGCTACAATCAACAACGACAGCTCACCAGTACTTTTGACCTATCTGTCAGTCTGGTGAGACAATCACACACACACACACACACACACACACACACACACCCTAACAGAAATGTACTCCAGCTGTATTAGCATATAGAGGAGAGGAGTGAAAATAAAAAAAATCCATTTGGATTTTAAATTGAGTGATGAGGTCAAAACTAAAGTACAAACCGCCCTTTTCTAAAAAAAAAAAAAAAAAACTGCTATCACACAAAAATCTCAACCTTGTTTATTATTATTATTATTATTATTTTATATTTTTACCCAACTACACACACAATGGAATATATTAGGATCTAAAGTGTGGGTGGTGAGATGAAGATGAAGAAGATGAAGAAGAAGAGCAGACACACGGTAATAAAAAAGGACAAAGATGAGGACGTGAAAAAACAAACAAAACAAAAACCTGTGACTGTTGAAACGTGTGTGTGTGTGTGTGTGTGTGTTTGTTTCAGCATCCTGACACACCTGACCTGACAACAACATCCACTTGTGTTTGTGTGTGTTTTAATAAGTTCCAGTAGCAGAGTTTCTCCGTCTGCTGTGTTCTCCTCCACTGCCTCTGTCAGTGTGTGTGTGTGTGTGTCAGTGTGTGTGTGTGTGTGTGTGTGTGTTACTGTGAGGCCACCGTGCCTCCACTGAAGGGTGAGGTGGTCTCTGAGCTCTGTCTCAGTGTGTAACACTACACATGGAGACAGAGGCTTCAGTGACAACACTGGTCAAATATACTGTGTCCTACTCTCTGATGCTTAGGCTTTAGAAGTCTGGCGGGCCGGAAGACAAAGCTGAACGGTCCGCATCCGGGCCCCGGGCCTTAGTTTGCCCATGCCTGCTGTATAATATAATTAGGGATGTACAATATTAGTATAATTATGTGATATCGGTAAGAATCGTTATCAGTGAAGTGAGAGTGAAAGTGAATTATTGTCAACGGCAGCGTATATCGGGATCGTTGATATCAGAGCTGGAAATTAAACGTTTGGACAATATAGGCAAATCGGATATCGGTAAGAAGTTCATATGGGACATTCTGAACTGTAACAACACTGTACTGTGGTACAACAGTCATACATCTATAGTGGACTGTACCTTGGTCCTCATGATTTCCCTGATGGCAGAGTCGAACTCCACAGAGTTGTTGTAGTCCACTGTCATGACGTGCGGTCGGCCGATGTACTGCTCTGCATACGGGTGCTGGGAGGACACCTTCAGGGGAACACACACAGTCAGAGCTCTACAAGTAAACGTCTTCAAAAAATGCAAACGGAAGAGTTTCTTACATTTATATTCAACACGCTGAGAAAAATAAAACACGTCCCTGCCATAAAACTGCCTGAGCGATATATCTTTGGACACAGAGCTCGTAAACTGACAGTTTGTACACTTACTCCAAATAATGGATTACAACAATTTCACTGCAGCTGTGTAACTGCATGTACACAGCTCTACAAACGGAAGTCGTGTTGTATTAGGATCACCGTACACCAGCCTGTTATCAGACACGACCGGCTGTCCGTGCCCACGGTTCATGCTAGAACCGTTCAGAAATTGAAAAGTGAAGCTGCTGGTTCTGTTACTGTTGGAGTTAGAGCTGTCAAATGGAAACAGCACAGCTGCACATTTATTCAACACATTTAAATATCATTAATCACAATCATTATTTATTTTAATACAATTAATCATGATTAATTGATATGTTAAATATGTTTTTTTTTTACCATATATTGCTTTACCATATATAAGCTGGCATTACATCTGTGAAACTAAAACTCCAAACATAAATAACAAATGGTAGATTTATTGGATGTACAGTTCTGTGTGTGTTTCTCTAACAGATATAACGTTGAGCTGATGAGTTCACAGCCTTAGTTCAAATCTCCTTTGAAATCTAATGTCACAGGTTTTTTGAAAACCAACCATGATTTTTTGACATCGTTCTCTTGTTCTTGGTTTCGCTCTTTAAACGTTATCATCGTCAGCTCTGCTGGTCAAAAAATGTTAAAGAATGTCAACCAGCTCACCTCTCTAGAAGTGGGTTTTCCTCGGAAAAACTCGTGGTTGAGAGAGCTGTGAGGCGGGTTGAACTTGGGTTGGAGGAAAACGCAGCCATTGGCGATCGCTTCAAGAGGGGCGGGGCCTTCATAAGGAAACCCGAACCCAATAAAGAGCTACAAAAAAACAAGACAAAACACCAGAATTGGTAATGAGCATAAACAATAATCAGAAAAAAAACTGAAAAAAAATCATCACACAAAGCTGTGTTTCCAGACTGACATTTGGCACAAATTCATCAGATATAAAATTATTAATTAATCATTTTGTTTATGGTCCTGCCTTTGCCTTCCGCAGCAGCTGCTGCAGTTCATGCTGCGGCAGCAGTCCGTGGTTCTTCACAAAGGCTGGGACTTCTGGAGGTCTCTGAGTCTCATAATACACCGTGCCGTGGACCTCCATGTACCTGTTGAGAATCTGCAGGAAACCTTCTTTGCCCTGCGGGAGAAGAGGGAGAAAATGATAGCTTAGAGGGATGAAGGGTGAGAGGGGGTGAGGAGGAAGAGTTTTCAGGTAACATGTGTCAAAACACAGAATGATGGAAAAATGTCTGAAAAAAAACAACTGTTTGTGTGTTTTGTCTCGGATCGTTATGAGATTGACTGTGAGCTGCTGTGCAAATGTCAGTACGGTGTGTGTGTGTGTACTCAGACTCAGGTTTATTTTTCTGTGTACAAACACACACTGTACTGACATTTATTCTACAGTGGTTAAGACTCAAAATATTGGTGATTGTTACATTGGACTCAACAATTTCTGCCCTTAAAATATGTTTCCATTAAAGCTGTGCTAAAGGATCAACAAAAGACTTATGCTAATGTACAATTCCCATGAACAAACTACATTAACTTTCTAAATTTATACTAGATAGTATCACAAACACTATCTAGTTGTGATTACTAGGTACTATTGATTGTTTCAACGTATTGATGATTAATATTTCAGACTATTTTGAAGTTCTGTATAACAGTCACACAAACAAATATCTTAAAATATCTTCATACTCTAGAAAAAAACCCCTCATTTATATTCAGTTATTTAATCATAAGCCGGTCTGCAGTGTCTAATTCTCAATCACACTTCGTATTCTCTTGCTTTTTCAAATATCATTACCATTGAATTTTCACATGAAAAGCCCTCAGGGTCACTCTTTACACTTGGAACGTCAAGGTTGAACGTAACGAATGGGAAAACAAAGAAATCATCCAGAAATAAACCAAGTCCCGAAATTGAATTGCGACTGGAGCGTAACCTTGGCCGGAGTATCGACCGGCTGTCCAGCGTTAAGCAGCTTACTGTATCTGTGCTCCGCTCCGAAACCCCTGCAGTGGTAATAGGAGGCTGTAGCGATCAATAGCTTCCTCTTTGAGGAGTTTCCCAGCCAATTAGCAGATTAGCTCAAGCGCTAAGTGCAGCAGACAACATGAATTAGCCGGAGAAACATGTGTGCAACAGTGCAGATTCCATAACCAACAATCATTGCAGTGTGTGTGTGTTTGTGTGTGTGTACTCCTGTGTGTGCAACCAGACTAACTGGATTAGTTGAAGTAATGGACATGTTGTGTTGTGATAGTCCTAATGGCTGATTTGATTTGGATTAAAAAGGCTCGTTTTAGGACATCTGGGATTTATTGTTTTGTTTTTTAAATATCACATTCATTTACAGTGATGTTAAATATTCAACAAACTGAGACAGAAAATAAGGGTTTTCATTTTCAGAATAGCAACTTTTCCAACGTTAAATATATCAGTTGGTGTCAGGGAAGGAATCACATCTGATTTAGATTTCGTTTTAAGTTTAGCTACTTTTATCAGCTATTTTATAAAATGTATGCATTTAGCAGACGCTTTTATCTAAAGTGACTTAAGAGGAAAGTTGAGCAGGATGAGTAGGAAGACAACAGAGACTGGTCTGGACAGTGGACAGAGGACACCGTCTCTGCAGACAACAGCATGACGCTCTAGGAATACATTTTTAACTGGCCAGAGTCAGGCATCAGGTTTGTTAGCATACCGTTGGTGTTTCAGTACCCCAGAGAGTGAACACACTTTTGTTTGGCTTGGATTTTAAATCCTCATGAACTGGATTAAACTTAGACGTGTCTTGTTTTAATACTTTCCAATGACTTCAAAAGTATTTCTTCAAATTTGATCAACAGAGACACAGTCGTGTCAGGGAATGTTCTGCATGCACAGTGTCTCCTATTATCATCAGCTGTCCGCCCGTCAATTTGGTCGCTCCTGCTTTGAATAACGAAACATGTCAGTGAAGACACTGGGAGTGACTGTTTGACGGACGTTGTTTTGCACAACTATTTTTCTTTGTCTTTGAAAGCACCGTGTTTACCTGGTCAAGAGCGAACAAAACTACATCCCATAAAACCAGTATTACAGTCATTTTCCTTTCCTACAGCAGCAAGGTTGAGTGGACTGTGAGGCTTACAGACCAGAAGACTGGGTTCACAGTGAAGAAACAACACTCCTACCTGAAGCTAATCAGCATCCGGGCCAATACAGAGGAGCAGCACAAAAGAAGACAAGAAGAAGGAAAATCCAATCAGATATAAATGTAAATAGAAACGCACGACAACGATGCAGCGATTGTTGCTGAACAGAGAGAATAGATCAACGACAACAAAACAGATTATACCATATTTTCACTCTGTGTTTACGGTGAATTGTTCTCATTTTACATGACGACATGTAAGAAAATGTAAAGTCAGGCCAGAAATGATTAACAATAGAAGCTGATTCGCCTCCTACACAATGACAAACATTTTATATGCAAACTGTGTCAATAATAACAGAGTGTGTTTACAGACAGACTGGTACCAACAAACAAAGCCAGAGTTTAAGGCTACAAAAGTTTCCAAAGACAATTAGATCTCAAAATATTTTGGATGAAAATTAAAAGCATTCCTTCTAAATATTTCTACGATGAGAACCTTTTTTCTTATTTGCCATTTTGATCGCTATTCATTTTTCGATTATTCAGCATGTTACTTCATTGGTCCACTACACTTTTAAGTGTAGTTTAGTTTCTGTGTAAACTAGCTGGCAAGTTTTAACACAACAAATTTCTTAATGAATTCAGGAAAGATAGCGATGTAACCATAACCGCCGTCGGTCGATGATGTCATAAACCGGGGAGTCAGTCAAGCTGTGTTTTGCATGACTGAACTCTCTTCTTTTTCTCTTTTCTTTTTAAACTCCTGAAGCAAAAACAAGTCGAGTTCTTTTACCTTCCACATGCTGGCCTCTTTCCCGTACACAACAGCCATGTTGTTGACTTTGTTCTGCTGGATGCTTCTCTTCTCCGTCTCGTTGAGCTCCTCCGAAACGAAACCCATGAATGAATTGTCAGGTGTGTGAGCTGGACGCACGTGAGTGTGTGTGTGTGTGTGTGAGCAGGGGGCAAATGCAGGATTGAAGTGGTGGAAAAAGAACAAGAAAGACGAAAAGAAGGGTGAAGGGAGAGAAGGAACGGATCACACAAGAGACAGAAAACTCCTTCGCTGTTAGAAAGAGGACGGACGGCAGCGAGGAAGAAAAATAGATTCCTTTTTTTCAGTGAGTAAAAGATTGAAGACATTGACTATGACATACAGTACGTGCTCAACAACATTAACTATCAAAAGGTACGTGACCTCTGGAGACACTATTGTAGTCAATAAATACTAAAATATAAATAAAAACAACTATGAATGCATTGAAGTACTGCTTAAAAATGATAGTATTGATGTGGATTACCACACGGCTGAGGTCACTACCTTATTTGTTAAACACTTAAGTTGCCACTGTCTGAATCAAGTATTAGTAAAGATGCTAATAGAAGATTTTAAAAATAACAAAAGATACACAGGACTGTAAAAAAAGGAAAAACAGGAAAAGAACTCATGCAGTTTGCCGTTAGCTAAGAATAGCTGCTTCTGACACACAGTCTCAAAAGAATGTAAAACAGCTGCCCGACCTGTCGACGACAGCAGGAGAGATCACTTAGAATTAAATCATTTTATCATCATGTCACAATTACCTAAGAATGAACCTGCGTGAGTGTGTGGGAATAAAAGGATTTTGGATTTAAAGAAGCGACTCACAGCTCACGTACCACGATCCACTTCAAACCGCTAACTCTACATTACACGACGTTCATAAGCTACGACTGGACGTGAAGTGTTGAGAAAGAGAAATGTTTTTTGTTCTTACGGAACATGGTCATGTATTGCCTGGAGTTGAGGGTCCAGTAGCCCCAGTTGGTCCTGTATCCATGCAGGGTGGCGTACTCCTCATGGTTATACGCCGGCTCTGTCCCGAAGGTGTCGATGACCCTGATGTGACATCTGCACACACACAAAGGCCAAATAGAGTTACATAGAAATATATAAAAAATAAACACCTGAAGGGTAAAGAGTCTTAAACGTAAACATTATCACAGACTTTAAAACTATCAGGAATTAGTTTTACAGACGCTGTGGACTAAAATATTATCACTTGACTCATGGCACTTCACTGCCTGATGGTATTTGTGGCGATTACACAAATACAGGTACGATAATTAATGCCCAGCGGTGCATTTCACAGTTTAAATGTCAAGCTGCAAAAACAACACCAATGTGTTAATTTCATCAGAGCTGCAACAATAAGCAGTTTTAAGCAGTGTATTTACATCTTTTTATTCATGGTATATACTCTTATACTATGACTCTTTAATGTGTTTTATAACTGTACTGGAGTAAATGTAAAAATTAATTAAAAAATGTTATTTAAGTCAGGCTATTTGTTGACACATTGATAGGAGAGGAAGGTCATAAAATGATGAAGAAATGCGTGAATTTATTTGTCTCCAGGCAGAAGGTAATTAAGTACGACTCAAGGTACACGTTCAGGTCCTTGAAAAGGAAAACTGCAGGTAAACAAACACAAACACGACAAAACAGAACGGCTGTCTCTGATTGAACAAAGTTGGTGAAAACAACATTAATGAAAAAAATAACAACATTATTAACAGAGGTCGGCAGCTGGAGAACGATGGAGTGATGATAGGAAAACAGCATGTGAGGCTGAGTGTGAACACACAGTAGGTACACACAAAAAATACACACAAAGCTGTTCACTGAGTGGGCTCAGTCGGACCACTCCAGGCTCAGAGGGATTAACGGAGCTGCAGCGTCTCTGAGTCTTTTGTCAAAGATGACTGAGTGGCTCTGCACGTGTGTGCGTGTTAAAAAAAAAAAAAAAAAAGAAGACATGAAATAGTCGGACAGCATTTTCAAAACCTTCAGATTTTGAACACATCACTACCGTTACAAAGGCAGTTCTTGGAGTGTTTTCTGTGTTTTGATGTACTCAAAATATCCTTGCTGCTGCTCTGAAACATTAACTGTGGCCACATTTAACACCACTGGTTGTGTTGCGGCTGCACGTCTCCTCCGACTCTCTGGTTTATACTGGATAGGGCGGTGATTCCTGAGCGCTGCGTCCCTCATGAACCACTCTGTGAAGGATTACGTAAGGACTGGATTTGGATTGAACACATGCAGTGTAATAATCAGGAGAATAATTGGGTATAAAACTTTTGAAGACTTTACAAACTTTCAAACATATTTTAACAAGATTACCAGGCACGGTCCCACTGATGTCGTTAGCTTTCTCTGCAGCGTTATGCTTTTTATGTTACTAAATAAAGAGGGCAATTCCTCATGTCATAACAGCCCTGGGAGAGTCGTCTGAAACGGTTTGCAATTACAATCTATAGTAAAAATAATAGCCTGGTTCCCTGCTTCTGTTTAATGATCTACTAAAGCGGCTTCCGGAAGAGATATGGTGAGAAACTGACGACAAATGTCTTCAAAATACTTGTTTGAAACTGAGGTCTTTGTTCTTTTACCTTTTATAAACACACAGGGAAACCTCTGGATCAGTGATGTGATGTGTTTTAGAGCTTGACCCTTATAATGAGCGCGGTCATTTTCACTGTTGTTAAAAGAAACCCTTTATCACTGTAACCTTTACAGAGCAGAGTTTCACTACAGGGATTTACAGGGTTTTAAAATGCAGACATCCAACCAAACACCAAGCTCTGTGGCCATTTTTATTGTCATAAATAAAAACATAAAAAAATATGACTTGGAGCTTTAGACTCATTTGAAGACCTAAACCTGATGGTCTAATCTCGTTAGACACCGTTTTTAACGCAGGTAAAACTTTAAATTGACATTAAAATGTAATTTCCATCTTCTCATCATACATATTTCAAGCAACATAAAAGTGAGAATGTTGCTCTCTGGAGATGAAAAACAAGAAAAGAGTTGAGGAAGAGAGGAAACACTGAGGTGAAGCTGATCTGAAGATCAGAGTCGGTGACTGATCTGGGTTAAATCGCTGATCAACTAGACTAAAAAACAAAACAAAAAAACCCTTCAGAATGAGGGCACTTGGCCGCCTGTTCACTCAGAGTCTTCGCTCTTGGCTGATTCTTTGAGTCTTTGATGAAAATGACCAATGTACAAAACGAACTCTGCTGCCATGAAACAAATCTAGTCTGTTCTCTAACAGTGAGAGATCAACAAAACACAAACTCAATGACCTTCTGTCTTAGATTTATTCAGATGTCAAACCAAACGCTGATTAACTCGACCCTATGCCTGTGTAGGTAAGACTCAGAACTGTTTACAGAAGAAAGGTCAAGGCTTTGGCATCGAACATCAAACAGTGCTGGGCCTGAAGGTGAGCCAACAGAACGACCAGAGCGCTAACACTAGGATGCTAACTGCGTGACTGTTGGCTGCAGCTCGGCTACAAACCTGAACAGGAAAAAACCCACAGTTGACGGATACATGGATGTGTATATCAGTGCTAACACAGCAGAGTTTGGCAGAAAACTGATAGGGTAAGAACATGTTATTCCAAACTATTAGCTGAGGCACAGTTCAGCTCTGGAAACTGAAGCCGCTGTTAATACAACCTGGATCTCCAAATATGATCCTTTCTACTTTGATATCTCTTTGTTTTCATTGACATTTGTAATTTGGGAAGTGCTGGAGTCAGCTCTCAGCCGCACACAAATCCAAACACAAAGACTCCAGTATAAACACGGGTGTTTTTCTTTTTTTTTGGGCGCTCCATTGCCTGATTAAATGGCACAGTTCCAGCAGTTTGCTCTCCAAACTCAGCGTGTGCTCCAGGTCCAACTGTTTCCCATTCTACTGTCAATGGTGCATATGTAAAACACAGCAACGCCACATGCAAAATGACAATGAGCTGCAAATTATTCAGCTGTTAGTTTCAGTTTCCTGCCAGCCAGAAGACTGAGCCGGTGTCCCATTGTCTGTGTCTTTGTCTCACAGGAGCTCACCAAAATAAACACAGAAAGACAATGACAAAACAACACCACCACACAAACATACAGCACTAAAAGGGACTTTTTTTTATCGTTTCACTAGCAACTTAAAGTCACCAGCAGCAGTAAACAAATGAAGTATACAGTACTCTACAGTACCTACACTGTAATACCACAGGGGAAAACACATGCACATCTTTGTGAAGGCAACAACCAAACCCTTAATAAAACAATGAATATTCTACACTACATATTGTACTCGCATCGCTTACAGTGGCCTGAATTATAAAGTAAACAATTGTTTAAAGTTTTATGCTGTTAGCAAGCAAGCTGGACATTCAGGCACAGTCAGGTTACTTTGGTCCTAATATGCTAATGTATACTAGACAGGTTAAATGTAATAGGCAAATTCTGTGTGTATGACATATGCATAGAGGCTAACTCAAATGTACAGGTAGCATAAACTACACCTCCCATAATGGAGGTCAACTTCATGACCCACCTCAACGCAGCATGGCCTTATCAGGTCCAGAATTGACCAATACAGATTTAAAATCAGACATTTATTTAATTTAGTAGAAAGTTCTCACAGTTTGTTTATTTCTGGTTAAAGTATTGTCAGCACTACACTGTTCAATAAATGTTAATCCTATTTGGCCGGAGTTTTACATTTCCTCCCCTTGGCTGATTGAGTTTGACGCCCCTGGTCTAGAGTGTACTCCTGCAGTGACTGCTGGGATTGACTCCAATATATATACAGTATATATACTGCTATATGATACATACTGTATGGGTGATTTTGTTTTGTTCTGTATTCAGTAAATATACTCCTATATGATATATACTGTATGGGTTATTTTGTTTTGTTCTGTATTTCTTGCAGAAATAAAGTCATGTTATGTCTCGTCTCCTCCTTCATCACTGCTCACTCACGTTCTTCTACTGACTTTCCTGCTCCAGAACCAGTTGAGTGTCCTGTGGAGTGGAGAGCAGATGTGCTCTTTGGTGGTGGTGCAAACTGTAAATGTTTTGAGGTTAGATAGTTTTGGAGCGAAGCCCGAGAAAAGATAAATAATAATTATATCAGAGCAGCTGTTTGTGCTGCTGCACAGTTTTTTAAATTGATTTAATTTAACTTTACATTACACAACATTAATAATCAACTTAAACTGATCCAGATCTTCTAAATTCTAGAGAATACTGACTATGTGTATATCTGACAGTTCTTTAGTGCACCTGCAGTGTTAGTAATAAAACTCTTACAATTTAGTTCCGTTATTGCAGAGTAAAGAATCATTACCTTCCCTTTAGAGTGTAAACAACAGGACAAATCAGCATGAATCAAAACAAACAACCGCTGTTGTTACTTTCACTGTCGTTGTTTTGCAACATGTCTTTGCACAGTCAGCAGACCCTCCAAACCCCCCCCCAAAACCCTCCCAGACATCCACCTCCCCCTGCGTTTGGCAGGGCAGTACATTTACCACAGTGAGAAATCAATATGCCTGTCCTATTATAAGAGGAGTGGGTTTGATTTAAGACCGACGTTTATCAGTCATCACCGTCTTCATGAAACCCCTCTGCACAGACACGGGTGTGAGGACCCCGTCATCTGCATGCACACACATACAGACGTCATATATAGACGTCAACAACAACACGTCAGACAGGACAGCAGCATGTTGTCCAGCCATAATAAATGGATGTGGATGTTAGTGGGAACATAAAACAAAAGTAATTAAAGGGAGCTGAAGGGCCCCGGAGCTCTGAGCACTTGATTAATGTTCAGCGCAGAGCACTCAACTAGACTAGAGGAGAGAGGGAGGGGGAGGGAGAGAGAGAGGGAGAGAGAGAGCTGACAATATTGGGCCCAGACTTGTGTGATACCTCTGGGGAACAACGTGTTGTTGTTCACTGGTGCACCCAGTGTCCAGCTGGATGGATATAGCCATTGGGCTCCAGCAGCTACAAACAGCTGTAAAGCTGTGAAGTGCAGTCACTGTTTCATTCTGAAGCCATTCTGGTCTTGGTACCAGCTTTTGATCATGTTCTGTTTGAGTAAACTGTAAAAATTTTAAAGAGATCAACTTTAAGAACGAAAAAAATAGAGAGACTTTTGTCAAGGAAATTAGTTTGTCAGTCGGCCATTTGTTGCGTATGGTTCAGAGATGCACAGATAACAAATTTTTGACTGAGTCAGATTTCCAAAATTGTATTAAATGTGACTTGGTCGATGCCGATTTATGCCAAAATATTTTAAAAGTAAATGTTTTTTAACTAAAAATTTATAAAATCTCAAGTTTGTTGTTCTAAGCGACTTGGCGGTGGCGGTGGCTAACGAGACAGAGCCTTGTTTAGTTCACTGTGAAGCTAACCTCATGTTAGCTTCTCTGCTGTTGCCTGTCCTCACACTCGTGAAAAACCATCGACTGCAAAACCTGACAGTGGACGATTCCAGTCACCAGTTGGCTGAATGTCTGGTTTATTTTCACGCCCACGTACAAAGCCTGCACTCTGTTATTACTTCTGAACGTGCGCAATAGCAGCTGAAGGGAGCACAGACATGAATATCCATAGCATTGATCCTTCACGAATATCAATGCACTCAGGGTTAAGCTCCAGTGAAGGTAAAAAAAGACGTTCGTTGTTTGTCCTGAGTCGCTAAAAAACACAGACAAAAACCCTGACTGGGAGCAAACAAAGACCGTCTTTCCAACACTAAAAGTCACATCCTGTTGGGAGAAGCAAAAATCAAGACTCCACACAACAACTACAGAGCTGGGAACTGCTGACCTCAGCAGGCAATTAGTTACAGAATGCAAGCTGACTGGCATTCCGTGTGGGAATGTGTGTGTGTGTGTGTGTGT